AAAAAAAAAAGAGTTGGATGCTTAACCGACTGAGCCACCCAGGCATCCCCCCTCCCCCCCCACACACACCGCTAAGTGCAGTTTTCCATGAGACCTTTGAGTGAAGGTTGCTGAGCTAGACTGGGGTTCAGCGGAGACGTGAGGCTGGGTGCTTGGCCGGTTAGTTGAGGGAGAGCCGGCAGGAGAGCGCCAGGCGAGGGAACAGCACAGGAAAAGGCCTGTGACGGAGGAGCATGAGAAGAGCAAAGGACACCAGTCAAGTTGGAGCCCCGTGGTCCAGGGTGGGGGCCGTGCCGGGGCCAGACCTTGCGCGGCCTTGTGGGCCGTGCACAGTAGCTGACATTTTGTCCTAAGAGCGAGGGGGCAGTCACCGGACGATTTCAGCAGCGGAGCGAGATGACCGCGTTTGAGATTTGAAAAAGATCACTCTGGCAACTGAGCAGCGGCTGTCTGGAGAGCCGTTGCAGGGGGCCGGGCAGGAGGCTGCTGAGGCCATCCGGGCACCCAGAGGCCCGGGTGTGGCGGCCTGAGCAGGTGGCGCAGTAAGTCCTTACAGCTGCCCCATTTTACATACGGGAAGCCTGAGGCTCTGAGAGGTGATGCGGTGTGGGGCAGGCGGCTGTTGCTGCAATCATCGCTCTTAGTACCAGCACCTTCTCTCGGCTCCCCAGGTGCTTTGGGGCCTGGCAGCAGTTTGTGCAAAGAGGGGCCCGGTACCGGGACCGCCTGGCTCACCGCCGGGCCAGGACCCTGAGGATATGTCTGCAGCAGTGGGTGCGAATGAAGCAGCTCCAGGCCTCAGATGGAGCGAAGGTGACCCAGCTGTCCCTCTGCCGGCAGAAGGCAGGTGAGCAAGCAAGTGGCGGGCGGAGGGGCTCCCTTTCCCTCCCACCCCAGCAAACAGCGTCACCTAAGCTCCGTCTGTGATGGGCCCCAGTTGAACCGATGGCTTCTTGGGATGGGGGATGGTGACGCAGGGAGCTTTCTGGGGGGGTTGCAGTCTGATGGGCGCGGGAGGGTCCAGGCGGGGTCCCGGAGTGGGCAGGCTGTGGCTGGGCCCCATTCTCACCCCCAGTCGTGAGCTTCTCTGGACAAGGGACTTTGTTCTGTCTTCTACCAGAGGGGGATGTGGTCCCTGCTCTCAGGAAGCTCCTGGTCTGGGGGACACACAGACCTTGTCCCCCATCCCAAAATCTGAAAGGGAAAGATGGGGCCTCTGAGGGGAGGATTTGGAGGCAGTGGGAGGAGGCAGTGCCTGGGAGGGGAAGGCTCCTCAGGAGGGGCGGGGGGAGGTGAGGCAGCAGCCTCTGTGACAGCCTCTGTGACTGCCGTGGGTTCCACCAACAGATTTGGGTGGAAGGAGGTCACTGGGGACGGGACTGATTCATCCCTCGACTGCTTCTCAGGGAACGTGGCCCTCTGCAGCTCAGCCCCTGGCGTGGCCACAGCCCAAGGCCTGGGGACGATGGCCCAGGTGCAAGGTGGCAGCTCCCTGCGGGAAGCCTGCCGGAGACTGGCCCTCTGCCGGGCGCTGCTGCTCTGGAGGACGCGGCTCTCCCAGCGTCAGAAGGCTGAGTAGGTGTCCGCGAGCCTGTGGCCCGGGGCTGGGCCTGGGGATGCGTACAGGGTGGGCACGTGAGCAGTGCCCAGCACTGGCAGGAGTGCCCCATAGGGAACAGGCCAGACCCCGCTCTTCCCCGTGGCACACTGTGGTTCCCAGCAGGTGTGGGACTGGGGGGAGGTGGCCCAGGGACCTGGAGGCCGTGATGGAGCAGAGAGCTGCAGGAGCCACGGGGTAGCAGGGGACACAAACACAGACTTCTCCCCGGGGGGCTGGAACCCTGATGAGGGAGGTCGGTTTCTTGCTCGTCTCCCGGCCGGGTGGGAGCCCCCCCGGGTGGCAGGAACCGTGTGTGTGTGTCTCACCTCTGCCCCCCAGTGCCTGGCAAGTGTCTGACATGTCAGAGGCATGGGAAAAATCCTGTAAGGGAGTAAGTGCCCCTATCTGCCTCATTATACAGCTAGAGAAACTGAGGCTCCGCGGGTCGAACAGCTTGCTCTAAATCACGTTGTGAAGTAGGAGCAAGAAGGTCCCCGTTGCTTTTCCACAAGACAGTCGCGCCCGGGATTCAGAGTCCCCAGGATGGTCGCGGTGGGTGAGGGTGGGTGAGGGGGGTCAGGAGGGACCAGCTGCGTCGATGATACGACAGGTGGAATGTAAACCAACAGTTGTAGGGATAAGAATTCTGTCACTGAACGCCACATGCCTAGCATCCATTATCCCCCACCTGCTTGGTCCACTGGGACCCTCAGTCTCTTGTAATGTGCCCCTAGAACTCTCGAGAAAGTCAGTTCACCGTGATCTCCCAGAAGGCAGCTTTCCCTCCTCCAGTCCATCCTCTACCCTTTGGGCATCAGGGAGCAGTCCATATCTATCTACAACATAGCTGGGGCTACCCTGTGACCTAGAAGGAGTATTTGGGGGTGCCTGGGTGGCTCAGCTGGTTAAGCATCCGACTCTTGATTTCGGCTCAGATCTCTCTGAGTTCGAGGCCCACGTCGGGCTCTGTGCCGACGGCGAAGAGCTTGCTTGGGGTTCTGTCTCCAACTCTCTCTGCCTCTTCCCCGCTTGCGCATGTGCACACACACCCTCTCTCAAAAATAAATAAACATTACAATAATTGTAGAAAAGAAAGAAAATAAAATTAGTATATGGAACCCACGTCTTCGGCTATTTGGAGTTTGGGGAAATGACCTTTCACCAGGCCTCAGTTTCCCTGTCTTCCTCAGTTGAGGCCTCAGTTGAGCAGAGGCAGAAGTGGTTATACCTGTGGCCTCTTGAATCTGGGGGCCTGGGGCCTGGGGCGCAGCTCCGTACCCATCAGGAGTGTGGCAGGGATCAGCCAGGTGATGCAGGTGTAGTAGTGGTCTCAGCCCGAGAGGCTCACGAGGGTCACTCTGGGAGCTTTGGGAAAATTAGGAAGCCCAGGCCGCGCCTAGGTGGTTAAGTCAGAGACTCTGGGGGTGGGATCCCAATGGGCCTCAGTACTTCCCAGGACTCCCCAAGAGTCCCACGTGCAGCTGGCTTGAGAGGTGGTGCTCTAGCCTTTGTTTGGCACGCGGTGGCTCCCTTCCAGCTCAGCGCTTTGGCAGGGACCCAGCTGGGGGGTAGCACCTGCTTGGGGCCCAGGGACTCACCTGCCCCTTCCTGTAGCTCCTTCCTCCAGGGCATGCGGCAGCAGATGATTCGGCGTATCCTGAAGGGCTGGTGCCTGAGGGCCTGGGGTCCAGGCACCGCATCAGACAGTGCCAGGACCACCTGGGCCCCGGAGCTCCTGGGCAGCATCCCCGGCGGGGAGGACTTGCTGGGCTGCAGCACACCCCGAAGCTCACTAGAGAAGGTGAGGGGCCGGGGGTGGGGATGGGCTAGGGTGGCAGGTGCGAGGAGAGGGTGGGGACGGAGCAGGGGCCCAGGGATCCAGGACTCCATCCCTCCTTCCCTAGGTTTCCAGGGCCCCCACCCTCCTGGAGACGCTCCGGCTGAGCTTTGTGTGGGCAGCTGGGCAGCAGCAGAAGAGGCGGTGCCTTCTGCTCTGGCAGGTGCGGGCACAGCAGTCCCGGAGGGCAGCGAGGTGGCACCGGTGTGCTCTTCAGAGGCGGTAGGGACCCCTCCCCTTGATGGATGAGCCATGCTGCCCACCACTCCATAGACAGCCTGTCTCCCAGCCCCCTTCCCATCAGTCCTTGTCCTTCACCGCTGCATCCCTTTGGGGTCTGCATCCTAGAGGGCTCCCATCTCACACCCCCAGACTCAGATCCTCTGGACGTCTCCTGCCCTCTTGGCCTGCCCTGCTGACAGGGAAGGGGGCCTGAGGCACTCTACGGGGTAATCGTTTCTCCCAGAGACTTCGTAGCTGTGGCTCATTCATTCATTCATTCGTAGCACGATGCTTAATTAAGGGTCTGTCTGCCTGGGTTCTAATCCCAGCTCTGCCCCTTGCTGGCTGGCTGTGTGATCTTGGGCAAGTTGCTTAACCCCTCTGAGTCTCCGTCTCTCCACCTGTTCAGGGATAATAATAGTACTCCAATGGGAATCGACAAGGTAGGGGCCTGTAATCCCCTAGCACAGTACCTGGCACATAGCAATGTTTGTCACCAGTGGCTGAGCCCCAGGACTTGGCGCTGGGGTCCGGGATCCCATTTTATCCCTACCGCCTGTCACCGTGACACTCAGAGTAGCGTTTGAGCGGTCCGGCCCCCAGCAGCCCGCCCTCCCCCAGGATGGAAACAGGAAGAAGAGTCACCTGAAGCTCCCGAGGGAGGGGAGGGCCGGGAGAGCCTGGGGTGGCCGTGCCCATCCTCAGGGTGGGCTCTCCGCTTCCTAGCATCCTTCTCGGCTGGAGCCACTGGGCCACAGCCCAAGGGGCCCAGAGAGAGCTGGCTGTTGGCTGGGCCTGGGATCGGAGCTGCAGGGCCGCGCTGGGCTTGTGGCGGCGGCGGCTGGCGCAGAGGCTGCAGGCAGAGCGGTGCGTTCGGGCCCGGGGTCGCACACTGGTCCGGGGCGCCCTGCGCCGCTGGCACGGCTGCTGGCAGAGTGAGTCAGGGCCTGGGTCCGGGCCCCCGAGGCTGAGAGAAGGGCCAGGGCTCATCAGGGCGACCCGGGATTTTGTGTCCTCCCGCACAGAGTCCGGTGATGGGACGTCCACAGAGCTCACCCGGGATGGGGAGGGGCGGAGCAGAACCTGGGGGCGTGGACACTGTGAACACTGCCCTTCCATTCCCCAGCTGTGTGGACCTTACACAAGCCACTTAACCTCTCTGAATCTCAGCTTACTTAGCTGGAAAATGGGAATCGTAGCAGCACCCTCCTCAGGGGGCAGTTGTGGGGACACTAGGAGACCACCCCTGCACAGTGTTTGGCTCAGAACCCAGCTCCTCGCGGATGTTCCATCGTCCTCGCCTCCGTCCTCATCCTCATTATCCTCACCTGGCCTTCAGGAGTCACGGGTCTGAGCACTGAGTCATGGTGCCCTCAGAGCCCAACATGGGAGGTGGGGATCGTTGGGGGCCCCTTTCGAGGCTTCCCACTGCACAGATGCATCGTATCGATGGGCTGGCAGGTGGGGACCCGGTGGTTCTGGAGAACCCCTGTCCTGTTCACTGAGGACAGCTGCTGCTCCAGCCCACTTGCTGCCCCGTTATGCTGTCCCAGTGTTGTCAGACCTAGCTTTCAAAGAAAAGCTGGAAGTCTGGATTGTAACATGAATTCTCCTGATTCCTAAACATTGCCAAGAAACGAAAAACAGTGAGTTGGGTTGATCTGGTCATCACTGGACACGTGTAACCGAAGCATTTATCTATCTATCTGTCTATTGTTTAACCTTTATTCATTTTTGAGAGACAGAGAGAGACACAGCATGAGCAGGGGAGGGGCAGAGAGCGAGGGAGACACAGAATCCGAAGCAGGCTCCAGCCTCCCAGCTGTCAGCACAGAGCCCGACGTGGGGCTCGAACCCACGAACCGCGAGATCATGATCTGAGCCACAGTTGGATGCTTAACCGACAGAGCCACCCAGGCGCCCCATAACCCCCGATGGTTAGGGGGCCTCCTCTGTCTGCATTTGGCTGAGGAGGGCCCCATAGTCACCCGGGGCCAGAGGGGCGAGGCTGGGATGAACACGCAGTGGCATTTCAGCCTCTCTCTGGCCACAGGGCGGCAGCTCCTGCACGAAAAGTACCAGCAGTGGGTGCAGGTCCAACTCCAGGGCCTGAGGAGGACCGTGTTCCGGGACTGGCGACGGGCAGCAGCTCATCGGAGACGCACAGCGGCCCCGCCAGAGCAGCCCCTACTGCAGAGGTGGGTGGGCCTTGCTGGTAGGGGGATGAGGGTCACACCCTCTCTGGAAGAAGCAGGGAGAGAGCCCGGAAGGAGCCAAAGAGCCACGACCACTGACCTTCTATTACCTGCTTTGTTTGAGTGGTGGTGGCTGGGGGAGCGGGGGGTGGTGGCAAGGTTTTAACTCCACCCGATGCCCTGATGAGCCCCAGGTCTCCGACTCCCGACCGGGTCAGTCCTTTGGTTTCAGAGGACACGGTAAAGATGGGGGAATTCAGCTCCTCAAACACCCACCATATCGTGTGCTCCAATACTACGTGTTGTTCAAACACAGGCAAGCTCTCCTCTATACCATTGCCAAAGGAGTGAAATCTTGAACAGACATGTTCTAGTAAAACGCCTATACGTCATTCCTGCGTATTTAAAAGCAGAGCGGGGGGCGCCTGGGTGGCTCAGTCGGTTAAGCGGCCGACTTCG